TCAATTAACATGAAAATCTAAGATTTTTACTAACTAAAAAAAAAAAAATTTTGTTTTCAATTAATTTACTTCTTTAACAAGTCGTTTATGTTCATTAGCTGCTGTTATATGTAATTGTTGTTCAAGAAGTAATGTCGAAAGAAGAACTTCATGTTGTTGTTTAAGTTCATTATTTGAACGAACATGACGTTGTAATTCAACATCTGTTTGTTGATTAAAAAGTTTATCGGATAATGATTGATTACGGTCAATTAAATGTTTTTTATCCATTTCTTAAATAATATAAGAACAAGAAAAAAATGATAGAAAACATCTTTGTTTTATATATTTTTTTTTTCAAAAATACCTTTTTGTTCAACAATTTGTGTTAATTCAATTAATTTTGATTGTTCATCTGATGCTTCTTCTTGTTTTCGAGTAAATTCAACAATATCATTCTCATTTGTTGTTGTTAATGTTGTACATTCATTTTCAAGTTCATTACGATTCATTTTTAATTCTTCAAACTATAATGAAAATGATTTTATGATCGAATTTTAAAACTTAATCAAAACAAAATAACATGTTTTTAATTTAACAAGATATCACTATATCTGATGTACTGGTTGATACTGTAAACATATTCTCTATATTTATCGTCTACTCTTATATCTCAATTAGAGAAACGAGTTACAGTCACGTGTAACCATGACTAAAATCCTATGGCGACGTAGGTTTCTAATTTTAACATATAACTGAAATGATGAAAATTCTGGTATTACTCATTTGATAGTCTTTTTAAATAGCTACAAAATCATAAGTCAAAAAAAAAAAACTTTCGTACTTAATAAATTGCTAAACATAAGCGCAATTTTGTATTTTTTCTTTTTTGGTAAATTCAATTTGAATGGAAACTAATATGATATGTGGAATCAGTAGGAAAAAAAACTGAGTTGATCTATGTGCTATTTCAAGAATTTTATTTTTTGTCCAAAAAATTTATACCTGATTCTCCTTAGAGGTCAGACATTGAAAAGCGTACTTTTATTTTCTAGCTATCTGGTATCTAATAACTTAAAACAACTTTCAAGGTTTCCTTATAAATTTGATGCAATTCATTTTTCGTTTATTCTCTAAGAAAAATCGCGAGAAAATTTTTCGACGAAAAAAAAGTCCTAGAAATCGCGCATAGATCAATTCAGTATTTTATACTGATTTCGAATCAAAAAGACACTGAATTATGCTATATTTAGTAATTTTCCAAGTAGTAAAATCTTTTTGTTGACTTAATATTTTGTAGTCTTTTAAAAGTATTATCAAAATTTCGATCATTTCAATTAGTAGCGGATGATAAATACACTAACATTATCGTCCAATAGATCAGACCTATATCTCATTAAGGATATTCCTCTTCGGGTTTTCTGAAGAACAGTTCATCGAAGAAATTCGAAATTTTCAAGGCAGGTAGATCTTGATGAGTAGAGCAAACGTTGTCAAAGACTCCAATATTCTCTGAGATATGACGTTCGATCGACCTTAAAATTAGTGTACAGGTATCGGATACTGTTTGAGATGAGTATTTCTTTTTGTTGCTTCGAATAAAACTGCGAAAATATCAATCTCAACATATTCTTTCTGTTGAACATATGGAGTCGGTCGATTTGACTTCTAATGTATTCCTATTCTTCTTTCTTTTTTTTTTTTTGTTTTACTTGTTGTTTTAATTGATCTCGTTCAATAGTCATTTCATTCATTTTTTTTTCATGTTGTAATCGATCAACTATTTCAAGATTATCTTTTGCATAGATATGATGTCGTAATTCATACATAGATTCTTCCATAACAACTGGATTATGTCTTCCAATCCAAAACATTTGACGCATTAATAATTTAAATTCACTTAAATAATTATTTGTTGCTATACGTTCTTGTTCATGTTGACTTTTAAATATACATGTTATTAATTGTATTAATAATTCTATCATAATTATTATATGATCATGTGACATAACACGTTCTGGTTTAATACGTGATAATTGTTCAATTGTTGAAAGACGATATAATAGAAAAACTTGTTTTAAATAAGCCCAACGATCAGTTAAAGAAATTTTTCCACCTGGTTTTGTTGGTTGTGGTAATGGTGGAAATGGTTGAAAACGTTGAGTTTCATAACGTAATGGATTTGTTAAATGCTAAAAATAAAAAATATGTACAAAATAAATCATATTTAAAAAAAGAACATAGATAAAATATATACATCAAGTACAGTAAGAATATCTTCAAAACCATATTTTGTATCATAACGCATTGAATGTGGAATAGCAAGTTCAGCAAGTAACTTTAAATAGAAAAACAAAACAAAACAAAATTAAAACATCTATAAATAAATTTTTGTTTTTTTTTGTATTGTTACTTCATTAAGATTTTCAACAAGACCTTGAAGTGTATATGGTTTAACTCGATTAATTATATTTGAATTTGGTGTATTTGTAATAATAACAGATGTAATTAAAGGATGTGTTCGAATAGTTGATGTTGAATTTAGTTGTTGTGATGAATAATGTGTAGATGGAAATCGATGTGAATTTATTGGTGTTGCTTGCCAATTTTTTGAAGGTCCTATTGGATTATGTGATATTTGTTGAAGGCTATTATCGAAGAATGAAGATGATGTTGATGATATATTAACTGGTGTACCATAACTAGTTGTTAAAGGACCTTTTTTACCAGCAAATACAGAACCTTTTTTCATTTTGATGGATTTTAAAATGAATAGGTTTGGTTTTGTTTTAATCGATTAAATTGAGTTGACCGATAATAATTCGAATCATAGTGAGACATTATCTTTGTTCGTTGTCGCCATGCATTGTGTATTGTTCGCCTCATCAAGATAAATTTAAGGTGATGAGCGACATCTATTGAGAGAAATTATTTAAAATATGGAATTCTTAGTAAGATCTGAAGTTTATTAATGTAAAATAAAAATAAAATTGTTTAATAATTATGGAAAGAAAAATAAATTAAATTCGAATATAGAATGTTTGAATAACATGAAGATAAATTACAAAAGCAATATACTCGTAATTTTATTTATAGAATGTCCAATAAAATAGCCTGACCCATAAAAAAAGAATATCTCCAATAGGTTTCGACTGAATGAATTATTTGGCATTCTCCAGCTTCATGACCTAAAAAAATTTTTTTTGATTTTTAGTTATTTGTGATGAATAATGTATAGTCTAAAGTAGTATCTATCTACTGAATACATTTTTGGGATCGAAAAGTTGTCTTCAAACATTAAAAAAAGCTGTTGGCGCAATTCCTACGGAATTAAAATGTGAAACACGACATATCCATTGTTGCTAATTCCCTAGAAGCTTATCGTTTTTATTTATATTGGAGTATAAAGGGTGCTCCAGAAGTTCTGTTACAATTTTGAAATTCATCGTTCTCGCATTCAATAACAGTAACAAGATTGTCATGTACTATTTTTCTGATCATTTTGATTATTATTTAAAAAAACCTACAAACAATGGAAATAAAAAGAAATGCACAATAATAGATATCGATGTGTGCGTCATTGAATAACACCTTGATGAATCACTAATTTTAATCATGCTAATATTTTATTCGTCATTTATTGACATAATGAACCAATAAATTTATTGCATTTCTTTACGATGTTGCTTTCTCAATGTTCAATATCAGTATTCTTGCCATTGTAATTTCTCTTTTGATGCTGTGGAGGAAGTTTTAATCGATTGAATTGAATCGAAAATTTGTGCTTCCAATTATCCGACCTTTAGTCTATCGAAAAACGTTTGAGGTGCATTAAAAGAGAAATTACAATGACAAGAATACTGATTTTGAACATTGAGAAAGCAATATCAAAAAGATATGTAATAGATTCTTTGTTTCATTATGTCAATAAATGACGAATAAAATATTAGCATGATTAAAAGTAGTAATTCATTAAAGTGTTAGTCAACGACGCAAACATCGATATCTATTATTGTACATTTCTTTTTATTTCCATTGTTTGTAGTTTTTTTATAATAATAATCAAAATGATCAGAAAAATTGAAAAAATAGTACATGACAATCTTGCTACTATTTCTCACCCATAGTAAAAGCTATAGACTTCAAACTTTGTAGTTATGTAGTACTCGATATATACAATAATCTACCAAAATTTCAAGAAGTTTGCTTTTATCGAACGCGAGAACGATGAATTTCAAAATTGTAACAGAACTTCTGAGACACCCTTTACATTATAAAATGACCACTTTAGTTTACTCGAAGATAAGATTCTGGACGCATATATGCGTTGATGATCACCACCAAAGAGTTAATGAACTATAGTCAATATTGATGCTGTTAGTGTTCAAGAAAGGGTTTTCAAAAGCTTTATTATTGTGGTCGTAACTTATTCTGAAAAGTCTCTCGAGATCGTGATCGAATAGTCATGATCATGAAAGTTTCTCCAAAAAAATATATCACCGAGAAATTCAATGTTTTGCTAATGTACTCACTTATCACAAAACAAAATATTTTTTCAATAGTTGAGTCTTTTCAAAAATACATTAATGTATTTTTTTTTCCATCTTCTCTTGACATCTTCTTTGTGCGATTGATTAAAGAATGTAGTAATTTGGTATTTTGGTTATAAGATTAAAACATAAGAATTGACAATCACAATTTTGATTTATATTCAAATGAAAACAATTTTGAGATGATTTGATGAAACAATTAAAATCCAATTTATTCAATTATTTCATATTAAAGATCTGAAAAGTATGATTAACTAATAAAAATAGTGAATGCTAATTTAAGATATATGTCTATAATGTTGAAAACTGAAATAGAAACAAAGTCAATTAGAACATTTGTCTAACAGAATGTTACATGAAACCGATCAAGATCATCGACGAAATGATCGAATCCATCGATGCATTGTTCTATTTAATTCACTTTTGTAAATTTGTGATGGTAAAATAAACACAAACAATGTTAACATTGATGGTATAAAGGAGAGAAAATAACCAATCAAATATAACCAAGAGTAATATGGTGATCTCATACATCCCAATATGAATGAAATAATAAGACGTGGTAAACTTAATATTAATAAAATAATAGGTGCAAATATAATCTGTTTATATTTTTTAAGTTTCAATTGAAAAAGTTGCATAAATGATTGTCTCGATTCTATCCTTACACGACGACGTGCTGCTACTATAATAATTACAAAAGCAGATATTAAATTGATTGAAAAAGGAACAAGAAAATGAAAAAGAGTAATAAATGTATTATATTTAGTTATTGTAGATGAATATTGAGATAAACACCATATTCGTTGTGGATCTCCATCTAAATCATTAATAAATTTTCGATGAAATGGATCATGAATATGTGTAAGTATGATTAAAATAATAATAATAAAAGTTATACATTTAGCTATTATCTTACTCTTTATTTTATTAAATGTCGTACCTTTAATAACATTAAACATTCTTTCAATAGCTACACAAGCATTTAACCATTCACTTGATGCTAAACAAGATTTAAGAATTATTTCAATTGAAATACAATTAATAAAGAGTATTGATCTATTAGTTATTATTGACATTTGTGAAAGAACAAGTTGCCAAAATTTAATTGTTAATATAATAATCATACACATTGAACTAATTGATGATATAAAAAGATAATAACCACAACCAACTTCTCTTGATTTTTTCAATTGAAATGTTGTTATACAGAATGAACCCATGATTAATTCAGAAATCAACATAATTGTAATAATAATAATGCTAAATTTGATAATAAATGGTTGTCGATCAAATGAAATATTTGGTTTAATATGATATCCAAGAATTGGATCAAGTGAAAAAATAAAATCTTTTGTTGAAAATTGACATTGTCTTCCATAGTAACAATCATTACATACACAAATAGATATTGTTGGACAAGTTTCATTGTCGATAAAACATCGACCATCATTATAACAAAGATTTTTTCCATTACAATCATATTTCATCGAATGATTAAATTCGAAACAATTTGAAAATCGATCACTATCACATATACACATATAGTATTCATCATAAAAGCACATCAATTGTAAATTTTGACGACATAAAAATGGATAATATTTTACTCGATGTAGATATTTATATTGACGAAAAGTATCATTAAAAAGATCAAGAACTGGATAACAACGATTTTTTAATGATACTTAAGTATGAATATATTCTGATATTATAAATTGTTCTCTTAATATAGTTAGATAATAATTACCATCAGGTATTTGTATGAAAAGAATGTTAAATAATTGTTTTATATAAATGGTCATAGTATTGTAACCGAAAGGAATCTTTTTTAATGTAGTTATTCGTTCATGCCTTGTATATTTATCAAATGCTATTATGTAATGTAGAATAAATGATGAACTTATTGTTAATATTGTCTCATCTATACGAATATCAATTTGATTACTTTTATATTGACATCGTTTACCTTGATAACCTTCTTTACAAATACAGATAAATCCATATAAATTAATATGTTCATCAATTGGTATACAAAGTCCATTATGTTGACATGGATTATTTATTGATTGACATATCGATCTTTTCAAATAACAATGTGAGCCAAATTTATTCAAAGGACATACACAAATAGATGGAGCAAGACAGAATGAATCATTTGAACATTGACATTGATATGTAATATTACAGAAAGTACCAGAATATCCTTGATCACATCGACAAAAAACTGAATTATTCATATTTGTATATTTCATACATCGACCATGTTCTCCACATGATCGTATACATAATTTATTTTCTTGTACTTCAGGAATAATTAACTGAGTCGATATTCGATTAACAGGAAGAAATTGAAAAGGAATTAACAAATACCAACTTGTCCAATAATCTAATGTTGATTTATCAAAAAGATCAATACGAATTGAATAATTTGTTGATAAATGTTTAGGACGATGTGGATAAAGTAGATAGATATTAAACTTTGTATTACAATCATGAGCTGGCATATATATTATTTGTTCATAATTGGGTACAATGTTTCCTTGTTCATCAATGAGCATGATGATTAATTGATAAATAACTGTTGAAGAAATAATAGTTTGTGTTCTAAACTGTAAAGTCAAACTAATACGTTGACTTTGCCATTGACATTGAGAACCAAAATAATTTGGTGGACAAAGACATGTTTTTGTTTGATTAATACCCTTGAATAAAGTGAGAATACCATAATGACAATACCAAGCGAGTCCAATATCCATCTTAGGTATATTATTTTTGTGTTTAGATTTGTCGAAAAACTTTTGAACAGAAGTTTTAGATGTTGTTGATGGGAAATAGCCAAGTCGTGAAGGAGTCAAGTAGCGACTGATAAGATCCGTGACTGTGTTCTTGACATTTTGAAGAGTGCATAAGTATGTATTATCATTGTCGAGTTTCTGTACTCTACTAATTGCACTGACCGATAATTTGAGTATTTGATTTTTAAGGCATACATCTTCTTGTATATTTACTGTTTTTGAATGATGATTACAAATGTTGTCTTCAGTGATACATTTGGATTTGTTAAATGAATAGTAAGATTTGCTAATATTACCTGTTCCATTGTCAAAATAGAGTTCTTGAATAAATTCATTCTCCATACAATAATCTCTTCGCTGATGAAACATATGAACTGATGGTAAAAAATAAGTCAAATTCAAATCGTTATTTCTGCATTGAAACTCGTTCAATGAGCAATTCATATTTGGACAATTAAGTTCATCGATACCATTAAGACAATCCCAATATGTATCACAATGAGAGTATGCATTATGACATGGCCACCATTCACAATTTGTTTCATCAGTTTCATGTCCATCTGCTTCTGAAAACTTTGTATCTGCGTCACATATAAATGGAAATGGTAGTTGTCGCTTGATGCTATATATATTCTCATTTGCCTCATCCTCTCCTTGTGAACAATCATAGAGTGCATTCCCAATTGCTACAGGTAACAAGCATTTGGTTGGATCTGATGTACACATAAATCGATTTGAGACATTCAGATGACATGTAGGAAATGATTCATCTTCATTATAATAACAATCTTTGAATCCATCACCAACACGGTTATATGAAATACATTTTAATGATTCATTACAATGAAAATAAGATGAATTTGCACATGACGTTTCATTGCCGGTAGTTGAGCATTCACGAAAGAGGTGCAAGAATTTCCTATTCAACATATCAAAATGTTCCATCATATCTTCTTTTATTAGATCAAAAGTGCGGCAACATATAAGACCATTGATTATTTCAATTGGAACTATTCTAGATAATAATACAGGACATTTCTCTGCATCAAAACATACAAAATCAGGTGCGACATTAATTTTAAATTCATTAATTGATCGATTAGTCAAATAGACAAATTGAAAATATCCATACATAATAGGATATTGAGGTAGAATTAGCCATTCATCTAAACAATAATTGGCAAGAAGTTGACAATTTGTATCCCAAGTAACTTCAAAATAATCACGTGATGAAAGTACGCCACTCTGCTGTTTGACATCTAGATCAACACAAAGTTACATAGAAAACATTATTAAAAGAGTAAATTGAAAAATATTGAAAGATAAAATATTGAAGAAAAAAAGGAATAGGCACGATTTACTTATCAACAAGAAACATATGAGAATGAATCCATGGGTACTCTATCACTTTTTTGGAAAAAGCTTTTTTTCTCAAACTTTTTTGCTGAAAAGATGAAAAGGCTACAAAAAAAAAGGTTTTTTGCAGAAAAAAACATTGATCCTTCCTGTTGAAAACCTCGAGTTCTTGATCGTTTTTTCGAAAACTATTCATGTATATTACTGATATCTAAAAATGATACAATATTTTGAGTGTATTTTTCTTCATTTAATTTTCTTTCAATGAAATCTGCAGCCAATTCGCACTAAATTTTCAATCTCTCTATATCCGAATATATCATCAGGGATTCAACTCGAATGGATTCCATCTTTTCATAGCAATCATACTTCAATAACTTCTTTCTCACACGTAACTTGATTGTATATGACAAGTATTCAAACCTTAGAACATCAATCAATAACAGACAGAAAGGGCTAGTTTTGATTGATTCTTACAACTGAAACGGTCTTTTTACGTAGTTGACCTTTTTCTGTGGACATGTTTGGTGTTTCTGAGTAGGATTGGCAGGATGATTATCACCATACTTTCGTAGATGGTCGCTTCGGAAGAATGAATATTCAGAATTCGAACTCAACCATACGAAACATAATGCTAGTGGAGTTAGCATTGTCAGGATTTGGATGTAGGTTTTCGTTTCATTGACACCAATACCCACACTCTTAAATACCATTTCTCTTGTTTGTTTGCCTGCCTGAGAAAACATTCCTCACATAGTTTTTTTGAGAACGTTGGGATGCATGAGTATATATTGTGAACTAAGTCTGACGAAAATGTAACTGATTCAAAGTTGCTACCGATTCACATGAATAAACAGTAGCTGATTGAGAAATCATTTATCCTCTTGACTTCACATATGTAATAATGAAGTATCATTGTGCGGAAAATCTTTAGCATAACCGGTATCTTTTCAGAACTAAAGATTGACGCTAGAGAAGCAACCAGTCTAGATTTTCGATGACTGATACCACAGTACTGAGTGAGTATATCAGCAGGGATTGACTGGTTAACGGTACCGATTTGATCTCTGGATAGTGTTATCTGATTGGTCAGTTTTGAACAAAATTTCATTATGTATACTGTACGAAACTTAGCGAATTTGTTTATTTCAAGGTAGCCGAGTAATCGATCAGTTATCAACAGGATAAATTTTCTACTAGTATCCTGTTGTTAGCATGTAACAGAATTTTGGTCAGGTATCCTACTGAAAATAATTCTCATGCACAGATACTCATCGGATATCTTTCCAGATGTCTGAATGGTTTCTATACCATTCTATGAAAAATTTTTCAACAATTCTCCGTAGATTGAACATTTAAAAGCATTTTGAAGTTTTCTTAATCAATTTTCTAAGAAAAAGTGCCAAAAATTGGTTTCTTATTTTATGAGAAAAAACGCAAAAAAAGTGATACTTTTCATAGAAATTAATCGAAAAATCGGCTGAGAATTTTGACTAGACTATCTATAACTTCTGAATGAATAAATTCAAAAGCCCCAGCCTTGTGTAGTTTTGCAGATCTACCGTTAGCGGTTTGAATACACATCCAATTATTGAAAATTCACTTTAGTCACCTTATGGAATCTATTGGTTTTCAACAACGTGGCTTTTAGTCTTTGAAAAACCTAGGTCAAATTATTTTATAACATATAATTCGATGCGTCTTTATCTCCTCATTCCAACGGTGAAAACCGCAGCTCTCTATCTTGCTTCTATCAAAAGTTATTCAAAATATTTTCACTTCCATGTTTTTTTCTTGAAAAAGACAATAGACTAATTCATTTTTGCAGCAAAGGGCGAAGGGAGAATAATTACCATTTCATAGCTTTTAGACATCGTATACTACTGTTTGAAAACAGAAAAAACACTTAAGTTTTCTCAGTAATTAAATTAATTTACAATTATTTTTACTTACTATAACTTCGATTGGAAAGCAGTGAACAACGAAAAGCTTGCCGACATTTAATATCTTTAATGTGATCAAACGAAGTAAGCATGGCTAAAGTCACTTCTCTATTTCTCCAGTTGAAACAACGCATCACATTAACTGGCAAATCAGTCTCTGATAAAAATTGACCATCACCACATGGAAACGAAAGAGGATATCGATTAATACGCTCTTCACATTGAAATGAAATAACTGAACCACAAAAAGAATTTGTCAAACTCGAATATGGAGACCGAAATTCTCTTTCTTCACTACCATCGAGACAGTCAGTAGTTGAGTATCCGTCTTGTGCAAATGTCATTGGTATACACTGACCACCATAATGACATCGATATTCATCATCAGTACATGTTGTCATCTCTAATATTTCACACCATTGTTCGTCTTCACCATTCATACAATCAACTTTGCCATTACATATTTGCCGCCAGTCGAGACACAAAGACCATGGTCCACGATCACAATTAGATAAAAAGCGATAACATGTGGTAACACTGACGTTAAGGATAATGTCTGAACGACTATCTACAGACGCTTTAACAATTTCATTAAATGACAGAGTTGAATTGTAGACAAATCGATATTGACATTTCGAGCCAAACCATGGCGATGAACAGTTATAGAATAATTCTAAACTTCGATTATTCATTTCATACCGTTCAACAAGATCGATAGGTGCTGACCAATTAAGAAGTTGTTCACTTGTTACACCTTGTTCGCTCAGTTCTTTAAAACTAACATTGTTTGCTATATTTTCATTCAATATAACAGACATTTCTTTTTCATCTTCATCATTATCAGGTCGTCGACAATAGGGAATCAACTGATTGCTCACAGTGTAAGGTTTATATTCATTGAATTGATGTTCGATGAGTTGAGTGTACAGGCAATCAAATGTCAAATAAGAACTCTGATGAATATCAGAATAATATAGTGAATATTGAGTATGCACTGCATTATGCAGAGCAAGAAATATCATCACATGCATAATCAGCATTCTTTCATGATCTAAATGAAAGGTAATAATTATTAACACTGTTTGATATCTAGAACATGTTGATCAACAAAAAGATTTTTTTTTCTATTTTGCCGAGATGCAAACTGAAAGAATACATATTCTGTTTCTGTTTTTTTTTCTGATATTATAAAGCATATGTGGTTCCTGTTTCAACAAAATGAAACATCATGTTTCATAGAGTAAAAGAAAAATTGACGTTTTTCCGTTCGATGGTCACCTAAGAGCAAAAGCAATAAACAAAATTGTGCCAGATGCTGTAATTAGTTTTTAAGATTTACTTTTTCTACTAAAAGAATTATTGAGTATAGAAGAAGAATACGTTTATTAGGCATTTTAAATTGTCACACGATCCTATGAAAGTACAGAGTTCGATAAACGATCAAAATCGAACCCCTCTCGAAATCCGATATTATCATTCCAACATAGTCATTTTGACTGCTAGATAGAATATGACGGTTCCAAAAAGTATAGAACCAAGTGGCAAATGAAACTTTTCAGTTTATTTTATCTGCAACCAAAATCATAACTATTGAAAATGAAAATTTTTTACTGATAACTAAGGACGTATTCAAGTGTTGCATTATATAAAGTCGAAGAGATCAATCTATGATTGCAACAGTGTGTATTTTTCGCAATTAAATGGAAAGAGAAGTGTAAAATAGCTGAAATTTTGATGAAAGTTTCTGAAAAAAATTGAGCACTATCAAAACATCACTTTTTCAGAAAAGTCATAATGAGATACTCCGATGTATATTTTCATTAACATTGCAGCTTTGAGCTATGTCCTTGTTTTTAGAGCGAAAATTTTTCTATAAAAAATGAGTTTTTGTCTAAAAAAAAAATCGTTTTTGCTGAATGAAGTCAGTTTTTCTTACATCAATTATTCGCTGATGTATCCGTAGCGGTATTCCATTACAGTCAGAGATAAATTCAAATATTTCTTCTTTGTTTGAAAGCTTATGATTATGGATAGTGATTCTTCTAGTTTTTATCAAAAAATGATTTTAACTAAAGAAAAAAAATATTTGTTTTTTATTTTTTGAAGGAAATTGTATCAAGTTTGCCTTCTGTCGTATAATTTCTCAACTTTGTTGAAAATTTTTTTTGGCTTGTACTCTTTTAACTTCTTCTATTCAATGAAACATTCGATGTTTATTAAGTATTCCAAATATTTTATTTGATTTCTATGTTATTAATATTGAAATCCAGTAAGACTATCTTTCTTTCTTTTTTCGAGAATATATTACTAAAATAATAATAAAAATAGTGAAAAGAAAAAGAATTCTTTATTGATATTAAAATTTTCTTTCAATAACAAAAAATTGATTATCAAAAGCAATAAATTGTTTTAAAAAAGAATTAATTGGTAAAATTTGTATATCATTTGGATAATTCATTAAATATTTAAATAATTTTATTCGACATATTGATTTCAATGAAGAATTTTTTTCTTTCGATTGTTTCATAAATATTTTTACAGGTTCTTTCCAATACATCCAAACATGACGAAATACATGTTCAAAATGAAAATTTTTTACATTAACATCTGGATTATTATAAATAGATTCAAATAAACGAAAAAATTTTCCATATAACATACGAATAATTGTTTGTAAAATTTCATGTTCTTTTATTTTTATTGTTTGATCTTTTTCTGAACAAGCATTTTCTGTTAAACGATTTTGTATTTCAACTTGTACAGTTCCTAATGCACATATTAATTCTGTTAAAATTTCACTTGCTTGAATACTTATTTTAAATTGATCATAATTATGTATTAATGTTGATAAACGATTTTTATATAAAATACAACAAATATTAACATAATGATCAACATATGATAATTTTTGTTCAAATGTTAATTGTGGTAAAACTAAACGTATATAACGTAAAGGTAATTTTGTTAATTGTCCACCACGATTAATTATTGTTTGAAGAAAATAAATATTTGAAATAAAATTTTTATTATTTAATAAATAATCAAGACGTAAATTATCTGAATAATATTGTATATATGTTGGTTTTAATTTTTTTAATGAACATAAACATTCAAGCCAATAATCAAGTGGTGTATGTAATTCAGAATTTTCAATTTGTAATAATTGTTTATTTGTATAAGGAAGAAGAGTTTCACATAGAGATAAATTAAAATGACGACATGCATGATGTAATGAACTAAAATTATTTAAATCAATTTTATTTGTATCTAAACATGATAAATGACGTGTTAAAAGATATTTTATTAAATCAACGGGACCATTTTTATGTGCAAGCATTAATAGACAATGACGACCTTGATCATTTATATTATTTATATCTAATTTACTTGGTAATAATTGATGTTCAAGTAAATATTTTGTACAATCAAAACGATCTTGTTCTATTGAACGTAATAATAATGATTTATGACAATAATTATTATTATCATCATCATCATCATCATCATCAAATGAATACATATAATATTCTATTTCACTAAAAAACCAATCATGAAATTCTTCATGTTCATCAATTTTTTTAAATTGAATTAAACGATTTAATATATGAATTAATTCTGTATTTATACGTTCATATAATAAATCTTTTAATATTGTTATTGAACGAATTTTTTCAAGTGTTAATGGTATATAAAATTTCCAATTATTTTCATCTAATCTAATCAAATTATAAAATAAGTATAAATATTTATATCAAATTATGAACCTTACCTACTTGTTGGTAATAGTTAGTTTGATATCTTCTTCATGAATATTTGTAGTTTGTAATGAAGATTCATCTAAATATATTAATGAAAATAATTTACAAAAAAAAAAAAATCTGTAATTACTTACTTATTGTTATTATCTGAGAAGAATATCGTGATATCGGATTCATATCAGATATTGCTTCTGGAGAAACAATATCGAAATTATCAATAGATGTTTCTTAAAGAAATATTATAGAAAAATTCATAATCTTCTAATATTTTATTTAGATAATAACTAACTATTCTTACTTATATCTAAACTATTGAATGGAATAATATTAATCATTGATATTGGTCGAATTGAAGTTTGTTGTTCTTCATAGTATTGATTTATTCCTGCATAACTTACAGGTCGTGATGGATTATTTATTTCACGTGTTGAAATATGTAATATTCTTCTAAAACTTGATCTTCTTTTATAATTTTCTCTTCTACCATTTTGTTTACCGTGGTTGCTTCCCATATGTTAATTAAATATGAATCCGTCTCTCCCTCTCCCTCTCTTGTTTACTTAACGTTTGTTAGCAAGAGATTACAACTAATAATATTTCACCTGCTTTTTCTACTTTTTTTTTTTTTAATATTATGTACAAGCGTGTAATATGATAGATATCCTTGATAATTTGTTGTTATTCGTACATGAAACATCATATAATTTGATCAGAAAAAGCATAACTATTACTTTCAATACGGCTGAATGATTCCTCTTTGTGAAAAAAAAAGGTAGAAAGAAAGTTATTGAAGAAAAAAAAAACGAGACCAGACTAAACCAAAAATATTCGTAACCTTGATTGTAAAATAAAACCATGAATGTAAAAAAAGAAAATAAATAAAAACACAAATTTATATAATATTAGTTAATTAGCTTGCATCTTATACAGATACCTATCTCAGAAAAGTAAAACATTTACGTATTCGAAGGAAAAAAAACCTGATAAAGAAAGAGAGAACAAGAAAATGACACGAGCAATCGTCAAGGATACTTAAGCTATCAGATGATTGAATGTCGACCCTGTCTGTCTGTCTGCCTGCTTGTCTAGTTTTTATTTATTATAAAAATAGATAGATTATATTTATGATGCATTGATAGTTTAATGAATAGGTTATTGTTTTACAAGGATATATTATATGATTATTCATATTAAATAATCCAATTCAAATATTTTATTATATATATATAATTAATTTCATTAATGATAAAAAAACTATTAAATTTATTTTTATATTATAAAAAGATGATTTATAATAATTCCTTGTTTGGCCTAGTGATAAATCGATGCATATAGTGCTATGAATATATGATAGAAATGTATTTGTTCAATAAGATTTACTTATTTTATTCGGTATGAGAAAGACTAGAATATACATAAACTTATTCTGAAATAAACAAATCATGATTCCTGTAAGGCTAAGTTCTAATATAACCTTCATTTATGAGAAAAATGTCCAGCGGCAAATTTGAGTTTTGATTTGTTTTTTTTTTTTGAGATATCATATCAATTGTTTTAGCCTTCATAAATAATGTCATGTAGTTGATCAACAAATAATCTGTTCGTTTTCTGTTTTTTTTTAATCTCCACACTTTTCAACTGAGAAGTTTTTTCATTATGAAAATGAAATCTTATATACTGACAACAGAATTGGAACAGTTAATATTTATTCGGAATAGTGTTGGAGAAAATAGGTCAGGATCATCATCATATTCTTAAAATAGAAGAAAACAAGAATTGGAGTTTTTCTTTCTTTAACTATTTTTATTTAATCTTGAAAATACATAAAAAAAAAGAGAGAAAATAGTTCCTTTATTGTCGACAAGATGATCTTGTTCAGTAGAGCGTATTTTTTTTCTTTCATACACGCTCTTTTATCCTATCCTAATTCTCATATACTCTGTATTTCATTGCGTTCATCAAGATTATGACATTGAAGCAGAGGACTTTCTTAGAAGAGAAAAAAAAAGGTATGAACGATTAGTATTTTTCTTACATTGTCATACTTTGATTTATTGAAATAATAGTGAATAAAATAAAATAATTGAGAAGTATGGGTAATCAACAACAACATCAATTAGAAGAAGATCTATCATTAAATGATTATCGTTATTTAATGAAACAAACAAATTTAACACCACATGTTATTCAAGGTTGGTATCGAGAATTTTTAGTTGTATGTCCAAATGGTCAATTAAATAAAAATCAATTTATTAAATTTTATAAACAATTAGAAAATTCAAAGACAAAAAATATTGAATCAATTGCTGAAAATGTTTTTGAAGCATTTGATTGTAATGGTTTGTTATATAATTAATTTAAATTTTCATTTAATAGAACTTCTTTGTATGCATGTATGTGTGTTTTTCTTTTCTGAAATATTTAGGGAATCATCGAATTGATTTTAAAGAATTTCTTATTGCTTATGTATTAACATCAATTGATGAACCATTAGATAAATTACAATATACATTTTCATTATTTGATATAGATCATTCACAAACAATTGAACTAAATGAAATGATTGAATTATTAAGAAAACTTTTTACAATAACAGAAAATAAAATGAAAATATATTCATCAGAATCTATTGCGCATGATATATTTCATACATTGGATCTAGATCAAAATCATTCATTATCAAAAGAAGAATTTATTAATGTTTGTCTTCATAATGAATTCATTCGAAATGCACTTTCACCATTTGAAAAAGATTATCCTTCAAAGAATTAATAAATTTTTGTCATTGTCTTGTATTTTATATATTGTATTCATGAAAATTTTTGTAAATGAAAATAATAATAATCGATATTTTAAAGACAAAAAGAAAAACAGATTGATGATGTGAAATCTTTCTTTTTATGATTCAATTGAATCTCTTGATAAATTTCAATTATTGTTTAGATATCGAGATTCAAAAATAATATTAAAACTATTAATCCAACACAATTAAAAATAGGAAGAATAACAATAAAGTATTCACATGGAAAATTTGTTAGAAAAATTAAAAATCACATTCAACTTGTATACAAATTCGATCAAACCATTCCGTTCTAAATCTCATAGATGACGGAATGTTTTGGCTCTAGACTAGGCTCAATATATCTTTTTTTTTTATAAGATTCGTATCAGGAAATTAACAATTAAAGAAGACCAGTTTTTACATACTCTTCATATGAGATGCTATTAGTGCTTCATTTTTCAAACTGACATTTTACAGCGCCGTATAATGAGAAAAATAAGTTCACCAATTATGTTGGAGGAAACCATACAAATGTTTATATTCACTAAAATGTGACCTTCGAAAGAAGAGTTTCTGACCTACTTTACTGAAGAAAAGAAGGTTAATGGCGAAGTAGAAGTGTTTACAGAAAAAGAATAAAGATGTTGCACTTTGAGTGTGTTCACTTTAGAAAATGTCTAATAGACATGCAATCTTAGTTGCTGAAGGCTAAGAAAAATTTAGGTAGATTCTAGTTAATCTGACTCAGATTTTCCGTATGATTCGTCTTCACTTGTAATGAAAGATTCCTAGTTCAAATCATTGTCGATGTATGATCCAATATTCACTTATACAAAACTTCATATTTCATCAGAAACTTTTTTCTAGGTCGATTCAACTAAAACAATGTAATTATTAGATACTGAAGGCGGTAGAAAATATGGACAACTGTACAAGAATTGTAATGCACTGCTAAAATCTATTAATCTGATAGAAGGAACAACAAGTGTTTGAATATATCTTAGCTTAATCAATGTGAATCTAGAGTAGATTTAGGTCTAGTCAACCCTTGTAACTTTATCGCGTATGTGTGAAAAGTGAAGAAAATATTGATATATTCATGTTACGGTTGAATTGTATTTACCTGAAAGATAAGCAAAACAAGAAATAAAACTTTACAATTAAAAATTTCAGACAAACAAGGATAAATAATACAAATGAAAATCGAATTGAATTTATTTTAGGATATATAAAAAAAAACAGAAGTCTTCGAGAGAGATCAATTTTGATTTTGATGATTATCAGTATTGAAAAAGTGTTCTCTTGGCTTTCAGTACAATAATCTCTCAGTACCATACGTGGCTTTTTTTCATCGACATTTTTTTGAACTTTAAATGAATTAAATGTACGGCTGATGATGCCTAAAACTTTTATTCGTCTGCCAAATCATACGAAATAAACAAAAAATGGAGAAAAATTAAGTACAGTAGATTTTTAAAGAGATGTCGCATTTAATATAAGTACATTATTCGCATATATTATTGACGAATCACAACTGTATGTTTTTGATGTCACTTTGACCGAAAATGAAATACAGACAACTTTCGTAAGTTGGAATCATACTTTGTTCATCATTGATCATCTATTTATGATTTCCGTTTTCTTATTCACAAACCTTTTATTTTCTTCTCGTCAATACTCGAAATTTCTCGATTATACTAGAATAAATCGATTTTCAAAATATCTAAAGCATGTCGTCGAAGCGTAATCCAAATTGTCTATGTGATCGAAACTTTTTATTTCATTAAATACAAATGGCTCGTGCTATTGGTATTGATTTGAGTTCAACATACTCAGTAAGTTATTTAAAATTTGATCTTTTAAACATTATTTCTTTTTTTTCTAGTGTGTTGATGTATTTCAACATGGTAAAGTTGTAAAACTGTTGTTACTGTACCAGTTTATTTTAATGATTCACAACGATAAGCAACAAAAGATGCTGGTATTATTGCTGGTCTTGATATATTACATATTATAAATGAACCAACAGCAGCAGCTATTGCTTATGGTTTAGATTAAAAAACATCCGATGAAAAACATGTTCTCATATTTGATTTGGGTGGTGGTACATTTGATGTATCTATACGTATACTTGATAATGGTGTTTTTGAAGTTAAATCAACATCTGATGATACACATTTAGGTGATGAAGATTTTGATAATCGTATGGTTACACATTTTATACAAGAATTTAAAAGTAAAACGAATAAAGATGTATCACAAAATAAACGTGCTCTTCGTCGTTTGCATACAGCATGTGAACGAGCTAAAGTAAGTTGAAATTTATTTTATACTAAAAAATCTTATGTGAATTTTTTTTGTCTTAATAGCGTACATTATCAATATTATCTCAAACATCAATTGAAATTGATTCTCTTCATGAACGTATTGATTTTTATTCAACAATAACACGTGCACGTTTTGAAGAATTATGTGCTAATCTATTTCGTTCAACAGTTGAACCAGCTTTGCGTGATGCTAAAATGAATAAATCATATAGAGATGAAATTATACTTGTTGGTGGTTCAACACGTATTCCAAAAGTACAAAAATTACTTCAAGATTTTTTTCATGGTAAAGAATTAAATAAATCAATTCATCCTGATGAAGCTGTAGCTTATGGTGCAGCTATTTTAATTGGTGATACATCAGATGAAGTTAAAGATGTACGTTTACTTGATGTTACACCACTTTTATTGGTAAGAAAAAAATAAATAAATAAATAAAACAAACATTTTTTTTTGTTTTATAGGGTATCGAAACAGCTGGTGGTGTCATGACAACATTAATTAAACGTGATTCAAATATTCCAGCAAGACGAACACAAACATTTACAACATGTTCAGATAATCAAACTAATGTTGATATTCAATTTTTTTAAGGTGAACGTGCAATGACAAAAGATAATCATTCACTGGGAAATTTTCAATTGACTAGTATTCCACTAGCACCACGTAGCGTACCACAAATTGAAATTACATTTGATATTGATACTAATGGAATATTAAATGTCTCTGCTGTTGAAAAATTAAGTGGCCAAGAAAAAAATTATCAAAATAGAAAATAATCAAGGTCAATTATCACCAGAAGAAATAAAACAAATAATTATTCATGCTGAAAAATACACAAAAAAAAGAAGATGAATTACAACGTGAACATATAATAGCAAAAAATTCACTTGAATCATATTGTTTTAATATAAAAACAAATATTAATGATGATAAAATTTTATCAAAACTTTCTATTAATGATAAAATAAAAATACATTAAACAATTGAATCAATATTAAAATGAATAGAATTAAATCAATTAGCTGAAAAAGATAAATTTGAACATAAATTGAAAATATCTGTTCACCAATTATAACTAAAATTTATGGTAAATAATTTTATATTGATTAATTATAGAAACTATTTTATATGTGTTGTTTTTTTTTTTATTCTAGGAAATGAAAATGATATATCATCGAAATCAAATAGTAATTATCCAACTATTGAAGAACTTGATTAAACAAAACAATGAAAAATATATTCTTCTATTGATTCTAGTCTTATAGAATTTTTGTCTTTTTGCTTTTTTAATCTTAAACAAATTTTACAAACGAACAAAAAAGAAATGTATTTATTTTTGTAATAAATAAAATATTTGAAAAGAGAATACAAAAAAAGATTCTCGAAATAAATATTAGTTCTTGTTTTATTACATGAGAAAAGATTATTACAGTTTGAAAGTATTATAAAATAACAATTATTTTTAAACGATTATCCATGATTACATCGACAAACTTTGTTTGTAATCTATTCCTATTCAATATAATGATGTATTTGAATACTTCAAAACACTCATTATGAATACAAAAGTTTTTCTGCTATGCCTTTCTTTTTTAATAGAGAAAACTTTTCAATGTAGATATATAAATTAATAGATCATTAGAAATTTACTTTTGAAAAAGCAAAAAAATTTCATTTTATTTGCTTTGAAATAATAGACTATTTTCAGATAGTTGTTTTTTTTTTGTTAAATATAACAATTTTTATCAATCGGAATACTGATTATAGCTTTAAAAAAGCATATGTTTTAATCAGAACGGTATATAAAGTTCAAGCGTTTGAATGTGTATCAAAAGAAATGTTCCAGCATTTTTTTTCACTTACCTATTCCGAAAAAATGCTCGATCTACCCCTTCTCCTTCCCAGTCATGATGATCTGATTGTGCTTTTTCATGCTACATAAATATTTTTTTCAAGTAATCATAGTACAGTAAAAGTAATAAAATATGAAAACCAACGTATTTTTGATTGTTTTTCTACGATACCAAGTATTTAACTCAAATCTTAATGATGATTTGAATAACCTATGATGTTCTTTGTCACATGCATTGTATATTGAAAATTCAGACGTGAACTATGAGATGAAGATTTCTCAAAAATTCAACACGGTTGTTTTCAGATCCCAAACTAGTTTTTAAGAGTCTCATCTTAAACAGCACTAAATCTTGGATAAGATGAGAAATCATTGCATTTCCTCTGACCTCCCTATAAAACGTTATAAGCATCACAAAAAACAAGATCCTAGGGAATATGCTCTCTAAGATGATACGCTTAAAACAAAAATCTTCATACAGCTTTCTGGAACCTCCAAACGATTGTGTTCGATTTCTTTCAGATACTATCTTCTCATAGTTCATCTATGAAATTTCGGTATGGAATACATTCTATAAAGAACTTCATAGGTTATTTAAACTACTATTTAGTTTTGAATTAAATGCTTGATATCGTAGAAAAAATAAATACGTTGGTCTTAAGTTGTTGACTAGTACTGTATATAATTAATATAAAGCCAATATGTTCAACTCCCTCGTTTATTGTAAACAAATTTTGTAAAAGATACTACATTGAATCAAAGTACAAAGTTTTATAATTAAATTTGACAGATTCATCTTGATATTTGTTTAAGTAGAGTTAATCACAATCATTTTCACAGAAGTAATACAATAATATAAATAGATTTCTTCTTTAACTTCCTATGAGTTAGTTTTTGATATGAGAATTCACAGAAAATACACATTCAAGTCATGAAGCCATCATTGGATTTGTAGACTAAAATGTGTAAAATAAATCTTCATACTCACAAGTAATATTCTTTTCGTACTGTGAAAAACTGATATTCATAATACATACACTAAATGTATCCATAGTTTCTGTATTAGAATTTCAGCTTGTCATATGTTACTATTACATATATACAAGTAGCATTTTTTTCAATTATTTTTGAAATCAATTTGTATATAGAAAATAAAATGTGTTAATTCGATCAATCGTTGACTTTGGATATATTTTACTTTTCTGCATATCGTTCTTGAATTTTTTTCTTAGTTGTCTATGTCATGATGAATAAATAAAAATTGTTCGACTTCTTTTTCTCTTGTGTTATTACGATACAATTGGATTTTATGAAAAATAAAATAGCTCTCTAAATGATTTAATAAATTGATTAGTAGCTGCTGCTATTTTCTTCTAATAAAATTCAAACAGTTTTTTTTTTCATTGTTTTTGTAAAATTTAATGAATTTAACTTAATGATTGTTTTAAATATTCTAAATGAGATTAAGTCATCTGTATGTTTAATATATTAAATACTTTGAATAATTGTCGGAATTGATCGATTAAAATCAATTTATTTTTATTTCTCTATAAATAAATTTAATTTGTAATTCGTTCTCGAAGAAATACCTTTTACTTAATGAGAGAATCTTCTATTTGAATACATATTTCGTTCATAAGTAGGATTCATAGTTTAGATGAAAATTCTTAAAAGATTCGTTCTTTTACACCTTTTCTTCTCGATCTATGATCGATTTTATGAATTTTCAACATATTGCAAGACATTAAGAAAAAATTCGTAATAAAGACTTTTCGTCTAATTTTTCGCTCAGTAACAGATCTCATGATTAGACTTCTGCGTGACCACGATTTTTCAGTCACGTCACGGTCACGTTCATAGTCACGGAAATTTTTCGAAACTAGTCACGGTCACGTCACAGCCACGGAAATTTTGGATTACTAGCTGGATTTTTGTGCTACAAAATCAAGATTTAAATTGATTTCGTAGATTTTCCCTGTAACAAAACAAAGAAAATCCATGAATCAATTAAAATCTTGATTTTTTTCCACAAAAATCAGACTTTTAATATCGACATTTTTCACTGTTAAGTCACGGTCACGAACCCAGTCACGCCAATTTTTCGAAAACTAGTCACGGTCACGGTCACGAGACGCCGTAACCGTGACCGTGACCATTTTGCAGAAGTCTACTCATGATACTTATAACATTCTAAAAAGTTCAACTCGAATAGATGCTTTTCCTTCGAATCAACTATTCTACAATAGGCTAAAAATTCAGTAAAATGATCATAACTCGAGAAGAAAGATCTAACCGGAGGTAAAATACGAACTCAAATAAAGAGTGCCAGTCGAACACGTTTTCTTGTAAAATTATTAATAAGACATGAAAAATATTTCGAAAAGTAATTAAAATTGTTGTATTCAGTTTTAACCTTACTAATAATACGATAGGAAAAGCTGAAATTCTAACATAAAATATATCTAAACAACTGATACATGTACAATGAATGCTTGTCTCTATCAGTAGAGTAAAATATAAGAAAAGAATATTCCTTGAAGTAATCAAAATATATTTTATACTACAGACATGTAGAATAAGTTTTTTTCGTATCCTGAACCTTGACTGACTGGAGAGCTGTTTCAAGCGGTAAAACATTTTTGAATTCGCACTCTAAGCGTAAGATAGACTTCAGTGTGATATGAAAAAACCTAAAAGAACGAGCACCCTTTGCTGTTTCCATTAGAGTTATAGTCATTTTACGGAAAACAGAATATCTTGAAATTTTCAGGTCAAAATAATGTTTCATTCAAGAGATATTAAATTTATAAAAAAAAAAAAACTACTCGTACATGATGTAGGATAAAAGAATCGCATGTTTTCTTTTTCGAAAATTCAATATCTTGTGAAAGAAACGTTCTTTTGAGCTGAAAATTTCAGAACATTCTATGTTTGTAGACTAAATCTCTAGTAAAATGATAATAATTCTGGAAAGAACAGCTAAGAACATTTATCCTTTTGAGATTCTTCATATCTCATTGAAATCTATTTTATGCACTGAGTTCGAACTCAAAAATGGTTTATCACTTATGAAGGAATCATTCGAACTGTAACTCGTTGTTTGAGCTTACAAGAAAATTTCAGTAAGATTAGAAAAAGCTTAAAGAGGTTCTTGTCCATGACCACAGTTTTGACCGTTTTGCTGAATTTTCGATCCATTTTTAAGTATCTACTGGAAAACCAAATAACAGAATTTTGACCTGTGATTTTGCCCATAGATAGATCGAATGAATCGGAGAATATTCTGAAAGTTTCAGCTGAAAAAAAGATTGAATTTCCAAATAAACACAATTTTTGTGATAAGCGAGTATGTGTTGGAAATTCAATATCCTGACAAATGAACATTCTTTTCAGCTGAAAATTACGGAATATTCTAAACGTTATTAGATCTATCTATAGGCTGAATCAGCAACGTTTTTCAGGAAAGTGACTGTAACCTTTGAAATAGACTTTGTATTCTTCCTGTATTGTTTACGAAAAACTGCTTTATTTAGACGTTTCGGTAATCATCGAACTATCTTCTTCAGTGTAGAAATTACAACAAACACAACTATACATACATATTTCTTTTTTTTTCTAATACTGGTATGGAAACAAGATGGTAAACTGACAAGGAATGACAACTATTTGTCATCTTCTTTTTCTGTACAAGTATTAGAAAGAAAAGAAAAAGAACTATGCATAGTTATGCTTATTGCAATTTCTAAACTGAAGAAGGTAATCCGATGATTGCCGAGACATGTGAATAAAGAAATTTTACGTAAAAAATACAGGAAGAATACAAAATCTATTTCAAAACTATAAGCTGAATTTTTATTCGAAATTCTATTACTTAATTTTTCAATAAATCCTAAAAGATGGGTTGAAATTGCAGTAAAACAGTAA